TTTTTTCCACGTGTAGTATAGAAATTTGTAATAAGATACATAATGCGGTTATAATAAAATATTGTGCGATTATTTTCATATAATTAAAATTAATATTTATTTATTTTTTAGAGAATACGAGGGAAGCGGCGCTTCCAACGCTTCTAATGACGGCACGCCACTGCAAGATATTATTATTATTATTTATTGTGAAATTTTGCCGCCCCACTACGCTACTGTGGGAAAGTAAAATCAATAAAAGGCTGGAAAATAAACAAAAAGATAAAAACAGAGTAAGATACATATCCTTCCCCTACATTCGTGGCTTCTTTGAACAGATAGATAAAAGTTTCGATAAAATAAACATAAAACTAGCTCGAACTTATAGCAACTTACAAAAAAAAAATCCGAAAGGCTAAACCTGGCATAAATAACCAGATAAATACAACACTACTGAAGTCGTTTATAAAATACCTTGCACACGTGAACCACCAAAAGCATACATTGGAGAAACAAAACGAAGATTAGAAACAAGATTAAAAGAACACATCGCGGATTTGAAATATAATAGAATCAACTCTGTTTTTTACGAACATTGTACAACTCATAACTGCAAAACAGATAAGAATGACGTTATAATAGTACACAAAGAAAAAAAATTGGTACAAAAGAAAATTTAAGGAAAGCTACGAAATTACTACAGTCAAAAATAATATTAACAAGAATCTAAGCATAGAATTTCATAAAAACCGGTTACAACTATTAAAATAGAATGTTTATACAGCCGCAGGCGAGGCTGTGTGCGGCATTCTGGGGGTGAGACGTTGCACGTTGCGAGGCATGCGGGGAAGGGAAGGGGAGTGAGAAGACGCAGTGCGGAAGGTGCCTGACAGATGTCCACAAGATACAGCCTATCTTTGTAACAGACTGAAGAGGGGCGAAAGTCCGAAACGCTTATCTATATGGATTAAAAGTTGATGATGAAATTATTTGCCAAGTGTCAATAAATTCGACAAGTCGTGACATTGAACAAACAAAACAAGAAGACACGGTTTCGACAAATAAATAAAGCAACGTTATTGTTGATTGGTATTGTGACGCAAGGCAATCTCGGCGCCGCTAACTTTTGAATCGGTAGTCCCGTCAGTAGTATACGGTTGACAGACTCTGGGATAATTTTGTAAAAGTTTAACAGTTTATAACTTATTCCAGAGTCTGTCACCTTTTTGACGGAAAGACGTCGAGCAGGAGCAAAAATGCGACCGATTCTGGAATAATTCCAATTTCGGTCGACCGTTTCTGGGATATTTTGTATTCCAAAATCTCTCACGCACCCCAAAACCACACCTTTTTTTGATGTTCCTTCGGATATACTTTTCCGCGTGATTTTAGCGAGAGTTTCTAGGATAAGGATTT